CCCCCACAAAGCTGCAGGACAGAAAAGGCACACTATCAAGGCAGCAAACAAGTATTTTGTACATGTTTCCAATTACAGCCCTGCATAGTGCGCCGACGGGTTATTTACGACAAAGCCTAATTTACACGTGAGGCATTTTGATGGGGAGGTGTATAAATACATCAGCGGGCCGGACAAAATGAAGCAGTAAAACAAGCAGCAGCGTCAACGGCGTGAGAGTGACCGCGCCGGTCGGCGGCCGGATGTGTTGCCTGCGCCGACTGATTGCGTCCTCCTTGGAGCTGGCGCTCTTTTCGCGTGTGTGTGTGTGTGTGTGGAGCTGCAGACGAGCCGGCTGCTTGGAAAGGTCAGGTCTAAATTGGGAGAGGGAGACGGATCTTTCAAGGTTTAAGTATCAAATCTGGAAAGTCACTCCGGCGACCTATACGCAGGAGAGTGAGAGAGACTCGTCGTCCTCACCACACCGAACTAACGAACCTCTCCACAAATGCAATTTACGGCGTTTTTTTTTGTTTTTCATCTTTAGACTTGTTGTTGTGACTGCTCTGCTGCATGACAATGAACATGCATCAGTATCTAAATATATAGTTTAGCTGAATTAACCACCAATTTGCAAATCTGCACACCACGAGTCGTCGTTTCCATCAAAACAACCTTTTCACAGTGACATGATAATGTTTTCTCACGTGAACAGAAGCTAGTGGGACATAGTCACCCAGAGTGGCACTCGTTCATTTATGTTCTATTTATGTTCCTCCCTTTAATTGAATTTTCTGTTATGGTCCTGGCCCGTTGATATAAATCATGCCTCTCAATCAGTCAGGATAGCAAAGTGACGGCTCCTGCAACAGATGTACGAGTAGGGCGGGAAGGGGGCAAGAGGGGGCCAGGATTTATGTGTGGAAGGAAAAACATGACCCTGGGTCTCTGCTACCTGTCATCAGAGCATCTTTTCCATTACCTTGTAGATTCATAAGGACTGTATATTTCTATCAGGGTCCTTGAGCAAATTCAAGACTGACACAAACTCAAAAGATTTCATTGCATTCTATTTTTCTCAGTACATATAAGTGTTTATTCATGAAATTCATGAAAAAAAACAAGTGCTATTTTGCTGTAAGGAGGCAAACTCGTACCGAAGGGTTTCATTTGAAGTCAATGTGGTCAAAACATATGTTGAAACATCACTAATTGCAGTTCGGAGTTTGAGTGAAGTTACAAAAAAGATATTATAATGTTGGATGTTTGAGGATAGTGTTGTGAATAGCTTTTTATTCATCATTCACAACACGGGAAATAGAAAGAGCGCGATGGACATGAACCTGAGATTAAAACGCCTCCGTTCTTTGCTGTCGCGTTTTCATCGTCAGCTGTTCAACCACCATTGAATAAGCGTCAGGCATTTCTGACTCCTGGTCCCCTAATCAACATCCATACAAACCCATTTGCTAAGAGAAATTGATTTTAATGCATATGGAGTGATATAAACTTCTTCACAGAGTCACACCAACAGGTCGTGAATGATGTTTCTTTCTGCACCGTGTTGTGTATCGCGTGAACTGACATGTGTGACTGATCAATTGTTTGTTAGCAGTCAATCATTAACGGCTTGCCACGTTGTTCACCACGTCCAATAAAAACGAATTTCACAGACAGATAATACTAATTGCGTGTAATGATTGGTGATCACTTTTCAATAACAACACAGTTTTGCTTCAATAAGAGGAGACAAATTCATCCCAATTAAAGCGCTGCGGCCCATTGAATCAGTCCATAAATATAACTTGTATTAACGGAATGAATCCACACAATAACAATTTAATATTGTTTGGTAGTTTTGTGAATGCTTTTTATTATTCTGTATCAATAAGGCTAATGGATGGAGAGCAAGGAAAATTATTTATTGACCTCAGGAGCAAAATGCCTCACTTATTTGCTGTGGCCATTATATTGTAGCAGCCATTTTTGGGGAATCACACACACAAGTGACTCTAAACAAACTAACAACAACAAATTGATTGAATTGCCTTATCCGACTGAGGTGACGCCTTGTTAGCGAAAAACGGAACTAAGATGCCTACAAATTCAATATAATAATTTCGCCAATACCAGCCACCATACACACTACGGGATCCGCACACATCGCCTTTTCCCCGGCATCCAATCCCGTCTCAGTGTTCTTCAATAAAGTCTCCTCTGACAAACATGATGTAGAGCCACTCTGCTTCACACAACGACTGGATGATAAAATGTTGCCATCCTGGCAGTTGACTTGCCAATCCGAAATAGAAAAAAAAAAAAGTTAGAGTGGCCAGGTTTATGATACAGCCTTCACTGACGCTGTATTTCACGCTTTAACACCTGCTTCCACGCTCGCATACGCACTACCTCTCCCTTCCCAGCTAGGACAGAAGTCCAATTAACTAATAAGTAGATGTGGTGTAACGCCTTTTGTGTCTTGATGATTGATGGTGCTGGTTCCATCATTAACCTCTGCATATAGGCCCTCAGAGAAGATCTGACTGGAGGCCCACTCAGCATATGGATTCTAAATACAATATTCCCTAATTTACAAACATTGTCTCACCACAGACTGTATTTTTAAACATCTGAACTTTGTTTGACTTGCTCTACCTTTTTCCCCAGGCCCTTTTTGAGCCAATATAGTGCCGTTTGAAAAGGATATTGACACCAGCTCCTTCTCTGCAGCACTGAAATCGTGGCATGATTATGATCTAACGGCCTACTCAGCCTGCCTGTAGCACCCTCACAGAAAAAAATGTTTGACACTGCACTAATCTGCCATACACACTCACCTGCAGTCCAAGCAACAACTAAAATGTCTTCCACTCAGGTCATAGTGCAGAATCAATGATTTGTAGGAAAGAAATTGTAGTTTAAAAACCTAATATGACCACTTTAATGTCATGTGTGGTCATGTGGTCATAAATGGACGTTGTGTAGATCAAAATAAATGACAATACAAGTTTCTAAGTGGCTCGACGAGCGTTTAGGAGAAATGAAACTAACCAGACAACTAAAAACAAGAAACTAAATCAGACTAAATCCTGCAGGTCCATTAGAAACCCCCTCAGCTCTGATTCCAGCGGGGGCCTCCAACAGCAGGCCGGCCCACGGTGGACCGATTACCAGATTCGCGGATCCGCCTCCGCTGCCAGGTTCAGCCGGGAGCCGGAGCTCCGGAGGGAGGTGCCTCGCCTTGCCGGTCCCACGGCAACACCGCGACCACGCCGCATTGCCTGCTGGAGGGACGGGAGGCCACAGGGACTGCAAGACTCCTCACAGGAACAAAGTACTCCTTAGTAAATGACTGTGTATAATGGGATCTGTCTGTGAAGAGCGTGACAACAAAATGTTTCCTTTAAGAGAGTTGGGCTGGCGGTTTTACCGGGTTCCAAGCCTGCTCAACTGCTAACGGAGCTGAAAAGGAGCTTGTGTTGGAAAGAAACTGCAACCTACTGTTCACTTTGGAGATGGGGAGGTGTATTTTTTTTTTATATGTTATTGCAGGTATCTGTTTTTACACCAGCCAGCCTTTTCTTTTGATCAAGTACAATAAAACCGATTGGGCGATACAATATAAAAATTTGAGAGGTGGAATTTGACACAGTAGAATAAAAAAGATACAGAAATTAGTCATCCAGCAGTAGTTGAGATCAGAGAGAATTGCATCCACATGAATTATAAGATGTACTACTGAACCGTCTCTCTCTGTCCAACACATTTAAAGCACCACTGATAAGGTTTAGTGGTGTTTTACTGTGTGATTTGGATCTGTGAGGCCATGCAGGGGTAGAAAGAGGAGAGCTATGACTTCTCACTGATGTTTTATTTCCAATTATCTTCATGCTGAGTGGAGACAGAAATGGCAAACACAGGCCAAATGGTGCGTTTCATATGTGGTCAAACTCACTTCTTACCTCAGGCTGTGAATATAAGCTGAGCGTGTGCACCCTAGTCAGGTTATTACTGTCTTGTATTAGCTCATTCACGATGACAAGAATATGACCACATAGCTCACTCTTATTTTAAAATATATTTACTCTGTTCCTAAGCTCTCCGTTATAGTTGAAATCTCTCTAATATATTATTATGGCTCCAATTAGCAACCAGCAACACAGCTTGTGTTGATCGAATGTGTCATCTGTTGTGTGATGTCACATCATCGCCAACGCCTTGGTTGCATTGCACGTCTGCGTTGCAGCCAGATGGTGACCACTGGTTCTGAAAAGTGAAGCTAATGCAGATGTGTCTTCACATGCATACTCCTTAGTGGTTGGCAGAAGTCGACTCTACTGGATTCCACACCATGTCTGATTCTATAGAATCCTATAAGAAAATATCCTTGATGTATTACCCTCAGTAAGCATTGAAAATATGAATTTATGGTATCAATCTTTAGTTTCAAGTCTTCTCCAATACAGCATGATGTTCATTTAGTTGGAAAATAGAACAAGCAGCGAAGCAGGGTTTAGGGTAGGGGGGGTTCCTTGGTGCATGACAGGTCGCTACCACCACCAGAGCCGTCTTTATGTCCGACCGGCACTGGGCTCAGCTCACAGCTAACATACATTTTACTTTATGTAAATACTGAAAATGAAAACAAAGTAACATAACAAGGCAACCTAACAATGTTGAGAATGCAACGCTGTCAAGAGTTCAACGCCGTCAAGAAGAAGAACGCTGTTGGAGCGCAATTACTAATGGAAACATATCAAATAGGATTAGAAAATATCAGCAAGGTTTAGTTGTGTTTGTTTTCTGGTGTAATATTGAAACCTTTTTATTACACCGTTTAAGACCAAATGCCGGTTATAGTGTTAATACACTCGTCCCTATCAAGTCCCTCTTGGCCCAACCTGTTAAACCTGAAGAAACACCTGCTCTGTTCATGCGTTACATGTCATTTAGCTGACGCTTTTAAGCAAAGCGACTTACTATAAGTACATTTCAGCCATAAAGATACAAACCCAGAAGTACAAGAAACATAAAAGTGCAATTTCATCAAATAAGCCGATTAGAACTTGCTAATAGATAACAGCCATAATAAGTACAACTAATGTGCAACAATTTATTTTTTTACTATGTCTGAAGAGGTGTGCCTTTAGTTTGCGGCAAAGAATGTAAAGACTCTGCAAGCCGAGGCTGACATAAGGACTGACACCCAAAACAGCGCGGGAGTTTCTGCTAGTGTGAAGGTGTTTGTTCACTACCCTCCTCTGGAAATAAAAGTCTACCTCCACAACAAGTAAAGATTCAAGACGACAGAGAGGCGACTCTGAAAGAAAAGGGTAGGAACGCTACTCCTCTTTTCTCTGCTCCTAATGGCCGTCTCTCACTTCCTTTCCAAGTTGCTTTCACGAGGCAGATGGAATTTCGTTTCTTCTGATTGAAAAACGATGGAGTTTTGAAAGCAGGATGGACAATAAACGCAGCCCAGTTGTTGCAAGAAACAAATGCTGACAGATTCACCAAATTAGCAGAAGCTGCCATTTCTGAAACAAACCAAACAACATTGTAACGCCGCACCGTTTTCTGATTAGGGGCAGCTTTACATGAGTGGTTTGAGAAAAGGGGGAACTGGTAGAGAGACAGGAGACGGGTTTTTGTCAATGTGATTGACCAAACATCAAGGCGTTACAACATGTGAGACTCGGGATGTTGTTACTGTGAGAAATGCTTGTATTGTCGAGCACTGTGAGCGTGTGAGTTTACACAAGACGTGGTTCATGACATAACGTGTGTCCAGCCATTACCATGACAGACAGACAATAACACACTCTTTGTCTTCCCAGTTTGGATAAATCCATCTGAGAGCAATTACAGTCCACCGGCCAATTGTCAAAAAAGCAAAGAAGCATCGATCATCATGGGGAAAGGGGAGAGCGACGAGAAGCACGGGGCCCCGATTCAGACTCAGCCCCGCAAACACGAGGAGGACAAGAGCCCATGCGGGTGCTGCTCGAAGAGCACATACGAGGGCTGGGTGGAGTGTTTGAGCTGTACGCAAATCTTGTGCGAGGCTCTGGGAAGCATGATCCCGTAAGACTCCGATCTTCCTTGGGAGACTTGAATTCCTTTTTTTAAGGATGAAAAAATATATATTAAAACCATTTCCTGCTTGGCTGAGGTGGAATCAATGCAAATACAAAAATGTATGTATACATTTTAAATGGTGGAGGTGGGTTATTTTGCCTCTTTCAATCTTTGTAAATACACTGCAATTAAGATTCAGCCAAAGGCGAAGAATATACATTTATTTATTTAGTTATAATATTTTCTTTCTAATTGCAGAGGCTGACCTTGAACATCTGGACCAGTTTTTCCAGGCTGCATTGAATCTCAGCGTCCACCAGCGGCTTTAGTGTGATTTATGCCATTTGGAGATGAAAATATTCACTTTGATTGTACGTTTGTACTACGTTTGATCACCTAATAAACTTGCTTTATAACTCAATCCAGGAGTCAATATTCGCACAATTCACTATCTGTGTATAAAACAAACTAGAGATTATTTTCATGAATTGATTGTCACTGTTTAAAAATATTATATGTGTCTGTCCAAAATGTAAAAATTGCAATAATCCGATTCAAGAGAAATTGCCATAGCATAATGATTAGTTATAACCAATGAGCCCAATGGTGTTTAGTGAGCTCACAGTGACTTTGAATCACTTCAGTCTTGAGTAGGGGGGGACATTTTAGCCAAATTTGAATAAATAGTCTCAAGTGTTTGCTGAGATATCACGAGAATGAACTGGACTGATGACCCCAAAACCCAAATTGGTCCAGCCAAGTCTGTCGCCGACACGGAGGAATAAACAAGTGAACCTGACAACGTGGAGAGGAATGTCACAGTGAAACCACAGTATCTTTTCTAGAATAATGAGTAGGAAGACCAGACGGTAGTGGTGAAACAATGAAAACTGAAACTGCTGACCTGTGGTTAGTTAAAAGCCTTAGATAAGATGTCTGTGCAAGTACAGAATACAAGATAGGAGCAGGTGTGCTGTAATGTTCAAAGGTGAGCAGTGGAAAAGCCATGAGCCAACAGTGGTAAGATGATCTGTTTTTGTTTCCTGTCTTATTTTGTAGTTTTCTGCTTCTTGTCTGCCTGGGTAACTTCACTTCCTTCCTTGTCCTGTCATCGTCTGTGATTGTCTGATTGTTTCCACCTGTGTCCAATCACCGCACCTCCCTAGTGTATTTAAGCTGTGTGTGTCTCCTGTCACTTGTCGCGTCATTGTCAAATCGTCCTGGATGTTCGTAGTTCCTGCCTGCCGGTTTTCCCCTGGTTCTTGTGTGTTTTTGCCCGTTGGCCTTTTGCGTTTGCCGTTGTGACTATTCAAGTCTTCTTTTGTTACCCAACGTCTGCGTTTGAGTCCTGCCTCCCCGCATCCCTGACATGATCGTGTAATACAAGTGAACATACTGTTTGTACTGAGGGATGAAAAGATGATAACCCTAACCCTGAGCAAAAAAGCCCAAATTTCCTACATGAGAAGTTAATAGCTGTGAATTGTTTAATTTTCCACTTAATAAAAACACGTGGAACAGCAGTGGAATGAGACCAAGTACATTTCCACACAGAAAAGGCGATAACCTGAAAAAAATAACCGTTTTAAATTTTTGCGGTTTTGAAGTAGCCGAGGCGTTGTGGCAGCTCTCTGCTAAACTGTTCCTAGCGTGACAATAAACCGTCAATAAACACTTAAAATACAAATACAACTTAAGTGCTTTATATTGTACTTGCACTTCCTTCCACTTATTGTAAAATTAGCTTTTAAAAAAAAAGGCTCATTTTGCATTTGAGCATGTGATCAAGTTGAACAAAGCAAAAAGTTAAGTCACTGAAATTTTTTTTACTGAAAAGTAAAAGGAGATTCTGTGTACAGCCAATGGCCGTTGAATGGCAGCGTGATCATGATTTTCATCACAGCTTCATAATTTAGGTGTTCTTGGTCCAATCATGTTTTTTTTTATTTTTACATTGTTAAAATATATGGAAAGTTATTCTCATGACTGTTTCAAATTGAGCTCAGTGAGATCGACAATAAGTTTCCCGACGTGGAGTTTCCATTTGGATTTATTTTTCTGATTGAATCACCATCAAGTATTAATATAGAAATCATCCAGGAGTTTCAAGATCAGGCCTCATTCGCAATGTCTTACTGGATGAGTAGTTCCTTAAGAAGAGTAATACACAGTTCTTTTTTATTATATCATGCTCTCGTAAATGGAGTTTCGACACAACAAGTCAGTTCACATGTGTTGGAGGCCACCTGTAACTGAACTGAGGTATAATAATGTTCCTGGCCCTGTTGTGAGAGGAGGAATGTTCCAGGCAGTCTACATGTAGCTGTCTGACATTTTTTCCTTTTGCAAGGAGATACACGGAGAAAGACATATTTGATTCAGAGCCTTTATTCTTATTTACCGATCGCAAAATCTTCACTGGCTGCACATAGGCAATGTGCACATAATAAACCCTAGGTGGGTCGGTAGACTGAGCTAAACTTGATATTTTACATTATAGTTATTATAATAAGTTATTCAACTTCCCTGGAAACAGTAACGGATCTATTTAAAACTTTCTTCCAAACAAACATATACAAGTGTTCAGTGCTACCGTGCGAGTGCTTCATGATTTGCAGGGAAAATCATCATTAAATCAATGTTTAACCGTAAAAAGGTTTGATGCTGCATAATCACCAGTGCTTAACGCCTTTTCTCACACTTTTTCTTTACTTTACGTTGGAAAAGGGAATTTGTTTACTGTGAAATTGGAGCACCGTCCGCTCTCACTCAGCATGGCAGCGGAGCAGAAGACGACATTCCATCCTGACACATTGACAGACAAACGCGGATGAAAACCAGTCACACTGTTGTAAAAGTCCAGATTTCTTTTCGAAGAGGCCAAACCAGTTTTGAGGCAGAGCTTCCTGTCATCTGCTGTGGCATTCGTTGTCAAAATAAATGCAGGTAACGGGTGCACCATCAGGCAGAATAAGGCACTGTCAGGGGTGACATATTCTTCCTCCATCAATTTCCTCAAAGGCACTGCTCTACATTTTCTTCAAGCGCCGGCTGTGGTTGCACTCCAAAAATGGGCTTTGAGAAGCGTCCGAGCAATTCCGAAAACAGTGCGTGCGTATGAGTGCAATAACAGCCGACAGTGTTCATCCTGGGAACGTGGAGGCTGTGTGGGCTCCTGCTCTGCTGAGACTGCGGGAGGGGGGAAAAGGCAAAATCTCCCGTTGTGCCCTGCTGCCGAGCGCAAATTGAAATATAAAATAGATTTTGCTTCACTTAAAAAAAGTTTAAACATAATGTTACAGGCTGAGAATGCAAAGTCACTAGTGGTATTTTGCCTTCTAATCGTCGTATGTTAAGCTCCACAAAAAGGCATCCATCATGTGTCATGCAGTAGTTCACCTCTTCTACACTTTGATTCCTTCGCTTTAACCTTCATGTGAATTACTGCCCTGACAGAGAGCTCTAATTTTTTCATTAAAATCTTAAAAAATATGATTTGGGCTTTTTCATGAGGGAACCAGTGCAATTCTTACTTTCTGGTTGCCATCCAAAAATACAGAAAGCATTTTAATCAAATTAAGGTAACTTTAAAAGTAATTTGATCCTGACTTGATGAAATAGTTCATTTATAACTGTTGTGATTAGCCAACAGCTTCACTTTACTTTGGATTAACAAGCGTTTACGGCATCAATCGAATAGCAAAACAGAAAAATTGACAGATGGTATTTCTCTGTCCTCCGTTTATCAGGAAACATGACGTTTTGTCACGGTGTGGGTGTGTTTGGGTGGTGGGTTGGTTGTTCCGGTTGGGTGGCATTCAGTGTGGGTCGCCATTGAATGTATTCATGTTACGCCAGCTTGTCCTTTCCTGAATGTCTTGTGAGTTCCTGGTCACTGCCCGCATTTTTTGCCCCTTGGCATTTTGATTCGGATTTTGACTGTTAAAGTCTTTTTTTTTCAACTCTGCATTTGAATCCTGCCTCTGCCTACACCCCGATCGTGACAAGTTTCTCACCTTGTGTTGCTCAAGTGTTCTAGCCACCTCATAACTGGAGAATAATTAATTGGCGGACTTATGCTAATAAAATGTTGGAATTCTACCTCACACATAGAAAATCGTTTTTTTTGACCACACAAATGTGAAGCATAATCAAACACACATTTAATTCATAGATCCAAGTCATTATTATCAAAGCATTTCTTAAATCATCATACTTAACTCCATCCATTCTATTACTGTGTTTACAGACATTACTAATGGAAACATCTCATAGTTTTTGTAAATATCAGCGAGGTGTAATATGGAAACGTTTTGTTACACTTTTAAGACAAAATGTCGGTTATGCTGTTAATAACTCGTCCCTGTCAAGGCAAGTGCCTCTTGGCCCAACCTGTTAAACCTGAAGACACGTGTGAAGGTGAAAGTCTACCTCTACAAAAAGTAAAGATTCTAGTTGAGAGAAAGGCAACTCTGAAAGCAAAGTAAGGTAAGGTAAGAACGCAACTCTTTTTGTCTCTTCTCCTAATGGCCGTCTCTTACCTCCTTTCCTAGTTGCTTTCATGGTGGACGAGGCTGATGGAGTCACCCGATGGCAAAGATAAGATGCTATTTCACCATCAGGGTTATCACTTAATACCTGATCATGTCTGTGGGGAGCAGTTGTATCCGACTGTTAAAACAGGACCTCAACTCCTGGCACGAGAAATGATCATCAGTGTGGAAGAACTGTTAATCTGTCTTCACTCCACAGAGTGTTTAGGATTTTCTCTTTAATGAAACCGGACAGCTCTGCATATAATATGTTGTTATATCAAAAGGTGTTATGTAGAAAATGCTTCTTTATCACGTGGATTCAGCAGCCAGTAAAATAATACATTTCAAATGTAGTTTGTATATAACTGTTCGATTAAATCATTTCCTCTGTGTTTTCTGAGGAACAGTTTCAAGGGGGAATGCTACTTGTGTAGATTCCTTAAGACAAAGTAAGATGAGGATGCAAATCGAACGCAGCCAAGTAGTTGCAATGAACAAATGCTGACAGATTCACTAAATTAGCAAAAGCTGCCATTTCTGAACCAAACAACATTGTAACGACACACCGTCACTGCAGCTGATTGGGATCAGTTAGTTTCTGATTAGTGGAAGCTGTACATAAGGAGCACAGGGGTTTGAGAAAAGGGGGAACTGGTAGAGAGACAGGAGACAGGGTTTTGAGAATGTGAGAAACTTCAAGGCAGTAGAACATGTGAGACTCGGGATGTTGTTACTGTGAGAAATGCTTGTATTGTCGAGCACTGTGAGCGTGTGAGTTTACACAAGACGTGGTTCATGACATAACGTGTGTCCAGCCATTACCATGACAGACAGACATTAACACACGCTTTGTCTTCCCAGTTCGGATAAATCCATCTGAAAGCCAAAACAGTCCACCGGCCAATTGTCCAAAAAAACAAAGACAAAGAAAACAGATAAAGAAAACAAACAAAGAAGCGTCGATCATCATGGAAAGAGGGAGGAGTGACGAGAACCATGGGGCCCCGATACAGACTCTCAAACAGAAGGGGAAGAAGAAGAGCAAATGTTGCATGTCGTGCTTGAAGTCTCTATGGGATGTGGTCCAGGAGGAGGTCCAAGAGGAGGTCCAAGAGGAGGCCCAGGAGGAGGCCCAGGAGGAGAAACGGGAGGAGGTCCAAGAGGAGGCCCAGGAGGAGATTGAAGAGGAGGCCCAGGAGGAGGTCCAGGAGGAGGCCCAGGAGGAGGCCCAAGAGGAGGCCCAGGAGGAGGCCCAGGAGGAGGTTGAATCCTGAGCCTTGGGCTTATGTGAAGCTTTAATCGGTCTTTGTTCCAAAGGGTGAATCCCTTTTTGTAAGTATGAAAAAAGTAAAAAATATATGTTAAAACGATTTCCTACTTGGATGAGTTGGAATTCATGCAAATACAAAAATGTAACCTCAAAATGTAAAATGGTCGACGTGGGTTATTTTGCGTCTTTCTATCTTTGCAAATACACTGCAGTTAAAATTCCACCAAAGTGGAAAAATATAAAAAATGTTATTATTTGTAATATTTCATTTCTCATTTTAATTGCAGAACCTGACCTTGAACATCTGGACCAGTTTTTCCAGGCTGCGTTGAATCTCAGTGTCCGCCAGCAGCTTTAGTGTGATTTATGCCATTTGGAGATGAAAATATTCACTTTCAGTCAGTTTCATCAGCTAATAAACTTGCTTTATACCTCAATGCAGGAGTTGTTATTCACACAATTCACTATCTATGTATAAAAAAACTAAAGAGATCCTTTTCATGAACAAATTGATTGTGATTGTGTGATCAATATTGATTGTGTATTGATTAATAAACTTTTCTTCTATTGTTACCCTGGAAACCGCATGCATCGCAGACGGATTTCTAGCATACAAACTGTTGAGTTGAGTTGCAGACCGAGCCCCTCTCTGGCTGGGAGGTAGGTTTAGGTGAGTCTCTCAGGCTGGAGGCGGAGATTTTAATGCACCAGGTGGAGAGGATCTGGCGATCAGGGGGGTTGGAGTCACTCACTCACAGGACAGTGAAGAGCGAGCAGTGTGAGAAAGCGAGATTGAAGAGCTTGGGAAGAGGAGACTGCAGGAATAAAGCTTGCAAAGGCTGAAGAAGGAGCCGGTGAGCTTTTGAGTGGCTGACTACTTATGGCATGAAATGCAAAATCAAATGTCCATATATTTAATGTGTTTTAAAAAGTATTCAAGCTAAAAGTAATTGGATAAAACTTGATTTGTGTGTATTCAGCGGAGTTAAAATCTGGTGAAGTTTAAAGGTTAAAATCATCATTAAATAGTGTTTTAAAAATGTATTTAATTTAGTATTGGGATACTTTAAATTTGGGTTGTCTTTCTACTTATTTTGGGGTTAATTTCCAGTAGATTATAAATTAAGTATGTGATGTTGGGTATGTGAATTGATTATGGTTTCTTGGGTTATATTTCTTTGACCTTATATTCATGTTTGTATTTCAAGGTTTTTCACCTGGTTTGACCTGGACAATCTTAAAAATAAAAAGCAAGAAAGCAAAGAAGTCCGAATCTTGGTCATTGAGTGGAATCCACTCTACACTTCTTAGCAAGCTGCCCTTTCAAGTGGGGGGCTGCAGTTTGACTCTCACAAAAGTGAGACACTTGACAGTGAAAAACCGCCACTGGTGCGAAGACTGGAGCGAAGTATCCTGAACTGCAACTGGCCAGGCCTGGAAGTCCAGAGGCCTAGTAACACTGAAGATCACCCCGCCCACACCGAATCCTGGTGAAAAGGAAGATGGCTGACTCAAAGTCACTGGAGCAGCTTAAAGCTAGTAGGACGTCTGCAAAGCGACAATTCTCCCGGCTGTCCAACAACATTGTCCGGATGCACGCCATAATGGCTGAAGAGGAGCTCAGAGACCATTTCAAAAGGCTCATAACTGAGGCCAACAAAGTCATGGAAGCAAATGACGATGTGGAGGCCCAGTACCTTGCAGAAGTGGAGCTGGACGCAGATCCTGATGAAGTTCCCGGGTTGAGCAAGCAGCAAAAGGCCGATATTGGGAAAACTGCAAGCGAGTGTGAGATGAAATTGGAAGAGCTGAAGGACCTCATTCGAAAGACACTCTGGGCTAATTTCGGGGAGGAGGAACTGATGATGGCGCTACAGGCTGCAGAGGAGAGAGTAAAGAGTGTGATTTCCTTTGAACCTGGTGGAAATAAAGAGGCCTTTGACTTCATGTTCGACTACATGGAAGGACTGGTTAAGAGGGCGAAGGAGCTGTACACACAGTGGAAGGGTTGGGCCCCTCCTGCCGAGCAGAAAGACTTCCAGCTGCGTGTACGAGAGCTCGAGCAGATCGTTCCCAAGTTAATGTCCAAAAAGGCAGAGTTCATTAAAGCAAAAGCTAAAGAAGACGCCGAAAGAGTTGTGAGTGCAGCTTCTATCAGCTACCCGACATCAATATCAGCCATCAGACTGAAGCCAACCTCCCTCCCCAAGTTCACTGGCATCAGGCGAGACTTTCATCGCTGGAGAGGAGACTGGGAGGCCCTTCAGAGGCAAGGAGAACCTACTGGGTCAAAAGAAGTAAAAAAGTTCCAGCTTCTTGACAGTTTGGATGACAAGATAATGAGAGATCTTCGATTGATGTCCTATAACACAGCAGATGACATTCTTCGGGTCCTGGAGAACCGGTTTGGAAACCAAACGGCGATTGCCATCGAAATAGTTGAGGAGCTCCAGAGACTTCCAGCTGTCAAAAGTCACCAGCCCAAGAAAATTGTTGAGCTCATCCAAGCTGTTGAAAAAGCCCTTCAAGACCTGAGTGACCTTGGTGACACCGGTGCTTTAAAGAATCCTCTAGTGACAAAGGCAATCGAAAGCAAGCTTCCTGATGCACTGAAGAAAGAGTGGCTTCTCTATGCAGCTGAGAGGAGCAGTGCTCCTCCAGAGAAACGCTTTGACAGTCTTCTGACCTTCCTCAAGAGTCAAGAGAACATCTATGAACAGCTGGACCAATTGAGGGACGAAGAGCTGCCAAGGAAAGAAATCCGACCTGAGCAAAGGCAAGCCAGAACCAGGGCTGCAAACCAGTCAGGTAGCCATCTCTCAGGATGCATCGTCTGTGGGGACATTAAGCATAAGAAGAAGCTGTACTTCTGCAAAAAGTTCTGTGTGCTCAAGCTCACAGAGAAGAAGGACGCAGTGCGAAAACTGGGAGCCTGCTGGAAATGTCTGGAGGTCCATGATGATGATAATCTCTGCAAAACCTCATTTCTGTGCAGAAACCCTGAGTGCGAGGACGGGAGAGACCACCACTACTATCTGTGTCGCAATGCCGAAGCATCCAGGGGCAGCGCAGCCCAGAGGAGGAGCAAAGGCGGCGCAGTGGGAGGTGGCAACAAGAGGGATTACACCGAAGCCCAGGAGGAATTATTCAGGAAGCTCTCCCCTGAATTGGCCCAACAGTGCCGGGACGCATTCTGCAATACAGCAACAAGCACCTCCCACGTCGCAAAGAGTCACTCAAGTCTTCTGGCAGAGGGCGGCCTAGCGGAGTGGCCCGTCATCATGATGCTTTTGGAGGTGACAGCCAATGCTGGACAGAGAATTGGGACCCTGATCGACCTAGCTTCTGACACCAATTATATCACCCATGAGGCAGCAGGTCGGCTCAATCTCAGAAGTGAAGATATCACACTTGTGGTTCATGGGGTGGGAGGCATGAAAGTCTTTGTTAAAACAAAGCGGTATCTCCTGAAAATCCGGATTGGCACCTCAAGAGGCGCTCTCAAGTCCCACCAGCTGGTTTGCTACGGCTTAGACCGCATTGCGGATATCCACAGACATGTGTCAGCCAGAAAACTGCAACAGTTCTTCCCAGATGTCCCGCTGAGCGACCTGACAAGGCCAAAAGAGATCCAGCTCCTTGTAAGTCACAAGGAGGGTCAACTGGCTCCACAGAAAATCCGAACGGTGGGGGACCTCGTACTGTGGGATGGACCAATGGGGAAGACAGTTGCTGGCACCCATCCTGAGCTGTTTGAGGAGGTCACTGTATCAGCCCATACGTCGAGGACACACTTTGCCAGGTCTATGAGAACTGCTGCTGCAAAGTATGAAGAACACACCTGCGCAGTCCCCGTTCATCCTCCTCAAAGCCAGCGAGCCCCAACTTCCGCCCAACCTCAGATATCCAGCTGTGCTGCTACTACATCCAGTTTCATCGACTGGTGGAAATGGGAAAGCATTGGTGCTGGTTGTGTTCCGAGATGTGGGGGCTGTCGTTGCGGAAACTGTCAGCCAGGCGGCAAAGAAATGACCCTCGCTGAAGAAAGGGAGCTGGAGGTGGTAAAGAGCGGGCTCACATATGTAGCAGCTGATGACCACAGTGAGAGGCCTCACTGGCACACCAAGTACCCCTGGGTGGAAGATCCAGCCACATTACCAAGCAACAGGAGCGCAGTCGAGGCCACATTCTTGAGGACTGAGAGGCAACTGGCCAGGGAGCCAGAATGGAAGGCCGCCTATGCCGCTCAAGTGCACGAGATGGTCGAGCGCAGGGCTGCAATGAAGTTGACCAAAGATGTACTTCGTGAATGGACTGGCCCAGTATGGTACATTAGCCACCTCATCGCACCCAACCCACACTCTGTCACAACTCCGGTAAGACTGGTCTGGAACAGCAGTCAAAAGTGCAGAGGGGTGAGCCTCAATGATCTCCTGCTGAAAGGCCCAGACGTCCTTAACTCAATCCGTGCTGTGCTTCTTAAATTCCGGAGGGGAGGGTTTGCTGCTTTAGGAGATGTAAAGAAAATGTACAATTCAGTGTGGCTGGAAGATCAAGAGGTGCATTTGCATAGGTTCCTGTGGCGTGACTCTGAGGAAGAAGAGCTGGCTGAATATGCAGTCACGAGAGTTAACATTGGAGACAAGCCAGCAGGCTGCATCGCTCAACTCGCCATGAGAGAGACTGCTAACCTCCCTCAGTTCAGCCATCTTGAGGAAGAGCGTCGAGTGCTGCAGGAAGACAGCTATGTCGATGACCTCTTGACCTCTCATGATAACTTGGACCAACTTAAAGTCATCACGGGAAATGTGGAGCAGATCCTCAAAGCAGGAGGGTTCGAGTTGAAGCCATGGGTCTTCACTGGCCAAAGTAGGAGGGAGTCGTCTGGAAACGACCAGGCGGTTACTCCAAGGACTGTAATTCTGCCGAATCAGCTCAAAGAGGAGGACAACAAAGCCCTTGGCCTTGGCTACACCCTGGAAGATGACAAGCTTCATGTAATGGTTGGGATAAACTTTTCAAGAAGGAAGAGGAAAATGAGACTTGGCCAAGACCTTCGACTGGAGCAGGTGAGAGCTCAGACGCCAGACCCATTGACACGACGAGAGTTACTCAGCCAAGTTTCTGGACTATATGACCCGATTGGCCTAACAACGCCTGTGAAACAGAAAGGGGCCATTTTGGTTCGGAGAGCATTTCAAGAGGCCAAACCCAAATGTAGCACCAGCAAAGACACTTGGGATCTTGCGCTATCAGAAAAGCTCAGAGAAGATGCCATCAGCCTTTTCGAAGAATACGCCAAGCTGAGTAAGGTCAAGTTTCATAGAGCCCTTACGCCAGCAGGTGCACCGGCTGAACCTGATGCAATCACCTTCTCTGATGGCAGCGAGCATGCGTATGGTGCCGTCCTGTACCTACGGTGGGCCTGTAACCAAGGGTCCATGGTGAGGCTGGTGGAGTCTAAAGCTAAGTTGACCCCTTTGGACCACAAGGGGGAAGCAGTCAAGTCAGAGCTTTGTGGAGCAGTATTTGCCGCCCGGTTAAAAAAGTACTTTGAGCAACATGGCCGGATTCAAGTCAAGCAGTGGTACCACTTTGTTGACAGTCAAACAGTCCTT